CGCACGGGCAGCCCGTGCGTTGGCCAATTTTTCGCATTGCATTGCTGCAAAAAACGCATAAAAATGGCAAATATTTTCTTTTTTTGTTTTCCTTTCCCCTTCTTTTTTCTTCTCTTTCCCTGTTTTCTTTTTCCAACTTTTTCTTCCATGTGCTTTCTGTGCATGGCAGAAGAGGATTGTACTGTGTTGTTAAACTCAACTTCTCGCATAACTCACACTTGCCCCTCCAGCAAAGTATTTCTCGCACTACTCAATTGCCTCTCCAGTAACAACTCCTTTGCCTATCCAGTTTGCCTCTCCAGAAAAGTATAGGCTGTTTCGTAAACATTATGTTCCGCAAGTCTCATTAGTGCAGAGTTCCCGACGTTTATATTTTTTTTCCTCATTTGCTCACATTTTCTCTCTGTTTCGTTTCAATTTTCTCTACTCACTCCTCGTTCGCCCTCACTTTCTTAGGCCCTGTCAGTAGTTCGGCTTCTTTCTCACTGTTACTCGTCTTGTTTACCGAACTTTAATCTGCTGTAACACCTCATTTCAATTGGCGTGTGTAGAGCTGCTTGGAGAGAAATAGCAGCAGCTGCATCAGTTATGGCAAGAAACATAGTAATAACTTAGTAGCTGATGAGAATTCCGCGCAACTTTTTGAAAAAAGAAATTACGAAATCATGAAAAATTATAAGAGAACTCACATTAATCGCAACATCCACAATCTTATCGAGTGCCATCTCACCCTGGCGAGCGATATGTCGTTGCAGCGCCAATCTCAGTTCATCCAGGCCATTTTCAACACGATCACAAAGCATATACATACGCTCCAAATCAGAATCCTAAAATTTTTACCATAATTTTCCCGAAATAAAAAAAAAACTTGACTACACGTGCAACCATATTTCTGTTATTCTCTTCATTTGCCTACAACAGAAACGGGGAGAAAAAAGTACTGATACCTTGTTCGATTCAAGCAAATTCCCAAACTCGTTTTGAAACAACTCCAGCTGCTTGGAAATTAGTACTTTCTCCAAAGTTTTCGCCAAAAGTTCCTGTGTTGATTCATGAAGATACAAGTCACAGCGCTCTTTTTCTTCCTTCAAACGAATTTCCACCTGAAAAAATCGCCATATTTTTACTGAATAGTTGCAGAAGTACGATAAAATATAACAGATGAGTGGGCATTTGTTGCCGAGACATCTATGACGAAAGGAACAAAAAAGATGACCATTACGATAAAGATTTCCAACCCAGGCATTCAAAAACGGAGTCAAAACCCCTGTAGCTTTCTTCTAAGCAACTAAGAGAAGCTGGGGAAACAAAAAATTTGGGGATACCAACTGCCAATTAGGACATATCCACCGTAAGTCAATCTCTCACGAACAGTGGAAGAGAAGGAACTTTTAGCTTTCCAAATAGAATTATATGCTCCGAAGAATAAATACATCTAAGTAAAATGTTTGAAAACGATACCCCAAGCCTCAGCATTCTGTCTTTTGCAGCTTCAAGTGCACAGATCTCGGCTAACGGACACAAGAATGTCCACAAGTGGAAATGTACAGAAGTGGCTTGCGCATGAGGAATTTTTATTTTTGAATATTTGTCCAACTGGAAAGGGAACGCGTTGGGTTAAGAGGGAGAAAGAGGAAGGCAGAAGACTGTAAAAACGCTGCTGGGGAGAACGGGGAATGAAAGAATCTTTGAAAATGCATTTTATCCCTCGAATGTTTTTAAATTCACCTTTTTCATGTATTCGGTAACCGGATTTGTGGCAATAAAATCAGCCGCTTCGGTTGCATAATAGCTTTCGGTTTCAGCGATGAAATGCTTTTCAAAATGCTCACGATAGACACGCAATTTGGGCAAACGATCGACTTGTGGAACCGCTGGAGAGCTCGAGGCCGTTGTTGACGTGTCCGTTTCATTCACGCCCAGTTCCACTGAATTAATTTGGATAAATGAAAAAAAAGAAAAAACATAGAAATGCCCCTCTTAAGGAAGACAACAAATATCGTAATGCCGGGCTGCGGCTTTTCTGAACTGGATTTTTTCCGTTCCAAAAATTTTTTGGCGCTTGGAAGTAGCCAAGCAGCAGCAAGTGCCACGAGTACCAGAAACACGCAAGTGCAAATTAAGTTAACTAGTACAGCAATTTTAGTTATTCATGCATTAATCATCATAATTATATCACTGATTTTAGCAAAACAGCCGTTCTAGAAGAAAAGGTACCGTAGCTCTGAATTACACCACTGATCAGTTTTCTGTTGATCTTTTCGCTATTTCGCTCCCGCTCAATCAGCATCAACATGGCAGCGGTAATATTTGAGCGTAGGTGAACAAATAAATGCTCCTTCCATGTCACGATTGCTAGCTGAAACTCGCAAACAACACAATTAACAGTTTCAAGGAAAAGAAACTGGACCGGTCACATGGACTGGTACTCATGAAATGTAAAAAGACTGGTACCACAAAGTATAAAAAGGCCAGTAGGAGGCTGCCGATGCGATTATCTATTCCGCTAACTCGATTATACGGAGTAAAATGCGGGCGGGGCAAGCACAAAACGGAACCAGTTGGCGTGGATGTAGACTCAGCCACTGGAGAAGATCAAAGTAAGGTGACAAGGCACTGTTTCATGTATTCATCTATGTATTAGGAGATAGCAATAAAAGTTGTCCTTCCTGGCGTCCAGACGCGGAGAGGGGAGGAAAAACACGAAAAATTAAGTTTGGACGACGCGATCTCAAGTGAAATTACTGGTGACTCATCATGAATGGGGTAAACTTTCATAGCCAAAAACGATGAATTTGAGGAAAATAAATGAACAGATACAGATGAAAGTATCAATAAACATCGACGTGCACAAGGACAGCCAGTGTCGACATGCGTTTTGCGCAGTTTCGTCCAGCGAACATTTGTTGTTAAGAATTTTCACTCTTGTATACTTTGGTGCGTGCAAAAATAGTCAATTTTGAGCTTAAGCTGCGAAATTTCCCATAAAAAATTTCACGCAACAGTATATGAAACGCAAGCGTACATGAAAGCTGAAATTGAAACCATCAGATCGCACATGCACGAAATTTCAGTCTCCTAGTTTCCTGGCTCCCGAGTTAATGACTTTCGCGCCAAAATTTCCACGCAGCTTTAGCTGAGAACTAGGTAAATGTGGAGAACTAAATTCGAGTCTGTTCATAGGCAGAAAACATCCTTCTGAAACCTAAGTCCTCTGGCTCGTCTGGTTCTCGAGTTAGTGAATTTCCCCATCAAGAAATTCACGTGGCCGCACTTGAAACCTAAGTGTAAGTGATAGTTGGATATGAATTTATGGGATCACACGAGGACAGGAACATTCTCCTAAGTTTCTGATTCACTAGCTTACGTGGCTCCAACGATAACGATTTTACCCACCAAAACTTTCACGGGACCGTAGGCGAAGTTTAGGCACGAATAACGGCTGAATTTAAATTTGCGGAGTCGCACGTGGGCGGACAACATTATTCTAAAATTTCAGCTTCTTAACTTTTGTGGTTACAAAACGCACTCGGACACTCACATACACGCACACACACTCACGCACACACAAACACACACAAACATACACACAAACATACGTACGTACACGTACGCAAGCACACAAACAGTTAT